GAGGCAGGAGACTCGCTTGAGCCCAGGAGTTGGAGGTTGCTGTGAGCTGTGATGCCATAGCACTCTACCCAGGGGGATAGCTTGAGGCTCCATCTCAAAAAAAAAAAGAGGTGGAAGTTCAGTGAGTCAACCTCATACAAGCTCTTTTTGTAGAAAGTCTCTTTTTTATTCCTCTAAATATTGAGAAATTAAGAGTATTGATCAAATTGCTATCAAGAGCTACTGAAGGGGCAGCACCTGTGGCTCAAAGGAGAAAGGCACCGGCCACATATGCCGGAGGTGCTGGATTCAAACCCAGCCCCAGACAAAAACCGCAAAAAAAAAAAAGAGATCCTGAAAGTCTCATGACTTATGTTAATTCAGCTGTATTCTCTTAGGGTGTTGGTAATTCACTGTATTTTTGTTTAGTCTAGTTTAACATTTAGGATTCCTGGTGTCTTACTGGATCCCGAAATTGGAAGAAAGCCAGACATAATGCACAGATTAATGACAATTTGCTTAAATCCCGGCAACACGAGAACAACATTTGTCACATCGCACATTTACTTGGCAGGAACCAGAATTAAGCCAAAGGGAGACAGGCTTTGAAGAGAAGAAGAGAATAACGCCACTCTCCTGACCAGGCAGTGGCATGGTGCATCACTGAACTGGATTTCTGTAGCCTCCAAACCGAGCCCAAGGAAGGTGACCGTGGGGAGCAGCGTGAAGGCAATTCTCTGCCTGCCTTTCAGCATGAAGGCAATTCTCTGCCTGCCTCTAGGGTCCTGTAAATTGTCAGGGGAAGGGACAAGGATGTATCCTTCAAGTAGGATTTGAATTTCTCCCTTTCTTCTAATCTCCAGGGAATGCATTATCCCCTAGCCTGCTGCTGAGTCAGAAGTAAGCACATGCTACCCGGATCTGTTTCCATGTTGAGCCTTCCTCACCCTTTACCCCGGGTGCTGAAGCTGATTCTCTGGGCTAGACTTCTCAGGAAGGACAGTTTTATCCAGGCCCACCTTTACCAAGTATGTGGGGAGCAGAGTCATTTGCCAGACAAGGTTGTCAATTTTGTCTCTCCTGATGGGCACAGTATCCCCCCATCCTTGCTGCCACCTGCTCCAACTCCCTTTCAGACAGTATAACCAAGTTAAGGTTTAGCTACTTAACCAGGATCTGCTTCAAGGTTATGCTTCTCTGTAAGAACCAAGGTTATGCTTCTCTGTAAAAGAAGCGAGAAGAATTAGAGATTTTTATAGCTGAAGGGATGTCGGGAGAACTAGCCCACCCCCCAGCCCCCATTGATCAGAAGAGGAAATTAAGATCAAGAGATGGAAATAAACTAAATGTCATCTACCAGCCGATTCAGCATTCTTTCAACTTTGCCATTCTGCTTGCTGTGGCATGATTCATTTGTTGGCTTAAAAAAGTTCTCACTGTGCAGAGGAACGTGAAATGAATACAACTGTTCGCTTTCCCTGCTAATTCATCTGGAAAGGCAATAACCTGAGAGTGCAGTTATTAGAAAACAGTTTCTCTAACAGTTTTTCAGAATGACCGCTTGGTGGCACTGTGGCAAACAGGCAGCGCTCACCACCTCTTCTTCATGCCTGTCACATTGGTGAATGCAGAGAAGTCCTTGTCTCATAGCAACAAGACAGGGAAAATTGCTGACACCCAGAAGCAGCTGTAGATTAACTTATCAATCAGTGTGTTCAAAACACAAAGCATCTAAACATTAGAGGAAATTCCCAAATAATTAATACCCTTTTCAGATGTGAAATTACTAGTCAAAATATTGTTCTAAACCCATTTTATAAACGTGATCATTTCCAAGAAAACCCCATCAGACCAACAAACTGGCAGCAGTGCCATCCACATTTCCCAGGGCCTCTCTCTCTTTTCCTTCTGCTTTCATCACTGACTCAGAGAATCCATGGACTTTTTCATAGTGCAATCTACCAGCTTCCCTGCAAATAAACATCAGTATGCTGCTGCTCAATAGCTGGTTATGCTTATTTTAGGTTGAATTCATTTTAGGCCCATCTCATTTCTCTGATACCTTTTTAATTTTTTTGAACCCCCCACTCTCTGAGCTATTCTGAACTTTTTGCACAGTGGAACATTTCAAGGACTCTATATATTGTTTCTCAGAAGCCTCTTTTAAAATACTGATTTAGCTGGGTGTGGTGGCACATGCCTGTAGTCCCAGATACTCAGGAGGCTGTGGCAGGAATATCCCTAGAGCCTAGAAGTTCGAGTCCAGCCTGGGCAACATAGTGAAACCATGGCTGTAAAAACAAAACAAAAACAAAAAATTATTGCTTTATTGACCCTCCATTGACTCTAATTTAGTTATACAAATAGGGTTATACAATCTGAACCCATCTATAATTTGAAAAATGTGTGATTTCAGTTCTGCAGAAGAGTGACTTCCACCAACTGCTGTCTCTGCAGTGATTAGGGCATGAGTATGTATCTGGTTTTAGGATTATGAAGCAGGTCCGGAGGTTTGAGAACACCATCCGGTTTCCAGCAGGCAGACAGTCAATAAGGCAGTTCCAGCTGTTTGCCCACGGTAGTTAGATATGAGATTAAAACTCCTTTAGGGGAATTTTGAATGAATTCTCCCTATTCTGCTTCCCTGATATATCTTCCAAAGAATGGTCTCTTTAAAAAGACGACTGTATATATTGCTAGTTAGGACCCCGAATGTTCTCTCAGAAGGACAGTAAGACGACAGCAGTACCTGGACAACATGTGAAGAGTGCACGTTGGGGAGGATGGCAGCAAAATACCGGAGAAGAAGGATTGACACTCAGTTTATCAGTCGCCAGTCAGTTAACTTTCGGGCTGATTCTCTAGGTAGATGCACTGCACCACAGTGACCATTTAAAAATTAGAGAAAAATTATATGTAAAGTACCACTGATATATCCAGCCAGCACAGTTTTCCTTACTCACAGAAGGGTATGATGGTTACATTGCAGGGCTGTAGAGTCAAACTTTCTGTCCCCAAGGTCAGGTTCTGCT